GGGGGAGGGGGAAATGAGGGCATTTGGTTTTTCTGAACTGTTTAAACAGTCAGCCGAACTGCTCCGTGTTGGACCGAACTGACATCCGCAGCTCCAGTTGCATTAGCAATCAATCTATCAGTAATTTATTTGTCAGTTGACGGATTGATTGACTTGAAGATCGACTGGCTGGGTGGGACCCCAACTACCTCCATTTGGTGGATTTTTGGGGTGGAAAATTGATCTCCAAACCGATGCGGATACATTTACTACGGAACTTTGAGTCATTTGGGGGCAAAAAATAACCCTTCTAGATGCATCTGTCGGTTTGGATTTGATTTTACTGCAAGCAGGGATCAAACAAAGGGGATGTAGCTGTGGGCTAAAGACTGTGTCACGTTTCTCCGAACAGTGGATGTGACGTGAGAACAAAGTGACCTGACTTCAGCTTGCTTCGGAACTTAACAGGTGCTTGGTTGAAAGGTCGGATCAAGTTTCCATGAAAGCTACAGACTACACTTTGAAAAGCTTGTTCTGTCTGAAGGATCAAGAAACTACGCCTATGGTCAGACAGTCACAGGAAAAACACAACAGGCTGGATTGAACTTTAAGAGCCTCATCATAATCTGAACAAGTCCAGGGCTAAGTCAAGGCCTACCACAGAGGTTCAAAGCCTCTTTACTGATGTCGTAACTTTGGACCACTTATCCTCAACCATACCCTTAGCATTGTCTGGAAGAATCCACTGTAAGGAAGTCAGGTCAGAACTTGAGGCTGGAAGCGACAAAGTCAAGTTACTGATTTGGAATATCTGACCCTACCGTGGACTCTTTTGGATTCAGTTGGTTGTTTTAAGCTTTAATGAAGAAGACGAAAGCAAATAAACTAAATGTCCAATAAACCGATGGCTTGACCTTAACTTGAAATCACTGGATGCTAAGAGGATTTGGACATAGAGTAATAAGGACTCTGAAGCGAGATGATATAACTTGACCTTGGACTTGTTCGGCCAAGCCTCGTCAGGATCTAAATGTTTCTAAGTTGCTGTTTAAATAACCACTCGATTCTCTGGACAATCACTCTATACCACAGCACACTGAGCCCGATGCCTACTGACAGACCAGTACCTGTGTCCATAACCGTATCCCGTCCTCCCTCTTTTCTTCACAGTCCATCAGAAGTTTACCTCCTAATTTTCCTCGTCCTATTCCTTCTCTACCTTCCTTTTCTCTCCTTCTTCGCTCTTTCTCCCCACCTTTGATTCCTGCTCATCCTCGACCCTCGACCCTCCATCATTGGTCAGTCATGCTGGCCTCTGGCCATCCTACTGGCCAAGAAGACTCTTTAGTAATGTACTGCCCGACCAATCAAGACTGTGGAATTCGCCAGAATTGTGAATAATTTACTAGAAGTGAATATAAACGAATATAGCATTACGTTTTGAATACATTCCAGCACAGGCACACAGGCAAGGTCTGTAAATAAGTAGGTTGACTGTAGAATTTTTCAACAGAAAAAATCTCCAAAAGTGGAGTAACAGGCATTTTTCAGGCCCACAAGAACCTAGACGCTGGGGTCCTGGATACAAACTTTGACGTTTATTGGTGCAGCGCTTTATCGACAGACCTTGCACATACATATACAGCCATGCTTTACAGCACCATGCTAAACATGCCCAGGGGGAAATACTGTGCAGAGCTACAAGCCCAGTGCCATGTAAAGACCGGACCGGATCACATCAGAACTGGACCGGACTTGGACCAAATCCGGACTGAAAACAACCCGGAATAGAATTTTAGCCGGACCGGACTCAAGAACTCTTAAGACTTGTGGCCATAATTGTAAACAACAAAAAAAAGAAAGATAATAATGATGACAAAGTATAAAAAAAGAATACAAAAGAAAGGAAAAAAATATTGAAATGTTAACATGTAATAAGAACTTTGTGGATTTGACGGTATGGATTTTAAAGAGCTGAACTTGTATACTGAACGTTATGCTACATCAGAATCTGGAGGAAGAGCAAGAGCCAGGAGGCAGAGCGACGGTTCAAGCCAAACCAAGACCGTCCCCTCACCATCGGATCAGGCCCAGACCCAACCAAACTGGATTCAACTGGAGTCTGTTGTGTTAGAAGCTCTGTATGTGGAAGATGAGGAAACAAACTGAACTTTTTGGTGCTTTTATTTGCCAAACTGGTTGTTTGTTTGAACAGATTTCCAGAGCGGCATTGGATGGAGGTTTGTCCTGAAGGTTTGGGTAGCGTTATAGGCAGCGCTTCAGATGGAGTCTGAGCTTTTGTTGCCTCATCCAGGGCTTTCACACACCTAAGTTCTAAAACCTTACAAGTAAACATTATGCTCATGAAGAAGTTTGGAACTACTGCAACTCAGAAAAGCTCTGTGTGAAAAGCTCTTATTCTCTGTGTGAACGTCGGCCTTTCCAACATGGCAACAATGCACCCTTCAACCTCCCAGTCCCACCTGTGTGGTAGAACATTTTCACATCATGAAACTGGCTTGTAAATATTGCCCAAAGGTCAGTTTGGGATGTAGTTTGATTGCATAGGTATTTGGCCTTTTGAAAACTAAAAACACAAACTAACCTCTACTCAACAATGATTTGAGGCAGATTTTAATCTTCTAGTTCTGTCGAACTATATGACATCCAGCAAACAACTTGCACCAGAACTGGTCAGTCAAAACTAATGTTGTGTAAATGTGTGCCAGTGGAAGACTGGTATGTATTTTTTTGCTTTCCCCTTTTAAATAAGATGCAAACTGCTTCAGGGCCTTTCACGTTTAAGCTTCTAACAGGAACAAGATTTTAGGTCCCCAACTTTTTTGGTGTGTTTAAATATAGTTCAAAAACCAGAAAAGTTCTTGCAAATTTCTGCCAACTTACAGCTGATTGCCAGAAAATGTCATTAATGTTAATGTATAAAAAAAAATGTTTGATGAGAGGTTTGACTGAATGTAGACCGTAAAGTGTAGACCATTTTTATACACAAGAGGAAAACTAATAGGTAAAAAAAAGTTGTACACACACATGGTGTTTGTAGATTTAAATTGAGAATGAGAAATAACCCAGAAAGCATATCTTTAGCGTAAGATGGTGTCCAGGTTAGTAACCTGCAGGTTAGTCCTATATGCAAACCACAGAAAACCTGAAACATCAATGGTTTTACCAAGCTGTGAAAAAAAACTCAACGGGGTTGTCAAAACTTAAAGCCAGTTTTTTTGCGTGAAAATGTTCTTCCACCATGAAGCATCTGTCTTTTGGCTCTCTGCGATGCCATAGAGCAACCAAGCACCTTTTGTTTTTTCTTTCTTGCTGATGTTTCACTGTCGTTTGAATCTTTGGGGCCAAAAGGACCTGAGTGAGGGAGGGAGGATTGAGGAAAAGGAGGAAAGGGTCCTGATAAAAGACTGCCTTTAAGATGATTAATTGTAGAACAGGGAGGGAAGCCACTACCATACCAATACCACTGTTCGCCAACCTGTATGTGTGTGTGTGTGTGTGTGTGTTTTCCTGCTGCTGCTGCAGTGGAAACTCAGCCATTAAATCACTGATCGTATCTGCAGCTCAATTAAAAATCTTTTTCTTTGTAGTTGCACCGTTTAAATCACCTGATCTGTATCTCTGATGCATTTGAAATCTCAAATCAGATCTCCAGTCTTTTTGTAAAAAAAAATAATGAAAATCTCAGCTCACCCTTTAAACTCAAAGTCATCAAGAACAGATAAATCGGATATAATTCAGCGCATCGTGTTTGATCAGGCTTCACCTTTCTGTTGATGCGATGAGGTGGAGGAGAGAAGAAAACCAGCGAATACTGAAAAAAAAAAGGTGCTGGGCGATGCATATAAACTGTAGGGCAGGAGTAAACTCCCTCTGCATGCTGAAAAGTGAGGAAGAGGAGAAATTACTGTTGAACTGCAGAGAGAAGGGGTATTTTTGTGCCAAAAGGTGAAAAAGAAAACCTGAATTCCTTCAAATGTAAATAGGAGAAATAAATGTTAGAGTAACACGGGAGGTTGAGGATGAAAGCGGGAGGTCAGATTCTCTTTTTGCATGCTAAAGTGTGAGGAGGAAGGATGGAGGGAGATGCTGCCGGAATACTGAGAGGGAGGAGAGAGGGAGAATACTGATCAGGCCGAAAAAAGATGGAGGCAACGTCATCCATCAAACCGACTGGGGAAGGAAAGGTCTCTGAGAAGAAGAGGAGGCAAAAACGCTCCATGCTCATTTCAGTTACTCGTGCGAACGTAAAGTTCATTATAGAGAGAAATCAGAGGATGGAAGGTAAAAGTTTTAGGGGCAGGAATGACTAAAGGTGTGCAGGGGCAAATACTAAAGACTGTTTCTGTTATACCTGCACTCCTAGTGTCATGGCAATAGTTGCATAACATGAATCTGTTTTTAGCATTGGTGCCAATGTAGCTTTTTTATGTTAGCATGAACATTAAACAGCACAAGATGTGACTTTAAAATGATAGCTTTTTAGTTTTATGCTGTTTAATGAGATACCCTCAAATTACCAGAACTGACCAGACCATCATCTCAGCAGCTCAGCCCCCCTCTGCTGATCATACTTACACGTGGATAAACAAATGAGCGATTGGCTAGCTAGCATGTCAAGAGCTGGCAGTTTGTAGCACGCTAATTACATGTTGCATTTTCGTCTGGGCAAGGACTGGTTTGTGGCAGAGACATTACAAGAAATCTCCTGCAAAAAGTCCTGAAAAGATCAGCTGTTGATTGGCACTTTCGGATCAATGAGCCTATCAACAGCCACACTATGATAACTATGATAACTATGATAACTGTAGCAGAAAGGCTGGATCTACTTAAAGCAGTTTTTACAGATTTAAGTTGTGGTTCCCTGCATGTAGTTTTTATGCTGTCATAGGAATTAATGGTGGGACTGTCTCCACGTTTAATTTAGGGGCTTCAACATAATTGCCTATAGGAGTTTC